ATCAAACATCATGTTTGAGCGCCAATGGAAGTTTTTGTGCCTCCTCAGACCCTCATTCATGCCCTGTTGCCTCCTTGAGCTTTTTTTTTTTTTCTTTTTTTTTCAAATTTGGCTTCTCACTCTGCTTCACTGGGGTCCCCATTTAACTATAAGCTCGTAAACAGTGAGCGATACAGGACTACATTCATACTATACTGCATACGACATGTTGTGTGTATTTATTGTGTATTTACTTATATGTGTATCTGTACTATATGTATACGTGACAGCAATTAAGCGTAAGGTCTCTATAATTCTCTATAATCACTAATAAGTCTGTATAATCTATTAATGAATCTATTAATTCAAGAAACGTCTGTCTGTGTCTCTGTTCGTCTTTTCCACGCATAACTCTCGAACCACTCATCTGACCGATCTCAAATTTGGAGGGTGTCGTACTAACAGGACAGATGTGTGCACTGCCAAGTTTCATGTTGCCAGGACAAAAAAAAAAACAGAAATGCCAAATCTGGTTATTAGAAAGTAAAAAATAAAGTAATATATATGCTGGAATGGTAGGCTGGCATACCACATTCAATCACATTTGTAAATATTGAAAGGGGGTGAGAGTAAATACGTATTTTTACTTCTTCTCATTCCTTTTTGAGCAAGCAGGGTATATTTTCTTATAATATATATACTCAAATTGAAAAAAAGGAGACATATGCTTGAAATAAAACAATCAAATCAATCAAAAAACTCCCTCTTATGTAACAGATAACCCTTTGTCATGTCAATCACTTTTCATTTTTGCACTGTTTCTCCTTACGACCTCTTGTTTAAAGCTGAGATATATTTGTATTACTATATTTCTATATTTTATTTGCACTCGTACATTTACATTTATTTAATTATGCCTTATTTGACTCCAATCTCTTGCTATTTTTACTACTTTTTTGAATTTATTATTACTATTTATTGTTTAATCTCTTGTTATTATATTATTTTGTGATGTATGAGCTACTTCGTCCGAATTATTTCCCTCCTGGATCAGTGAAGTTTGTCAAAGTCTAAAGTTTTGCTGGTTCTAGTTGAAGATTTTTGCGCTGTAACTCCTAACGAGTATTGGGAAGTAAAGTAACTGAATACATGTACAGAAAATACATACTTTGAATACTAATTTTGAGTCACTATTTCAGTACAGTTACTTTTTTATTTGGTAAATACAGTAACTTTTCTAAAATCAGAGGAATACATGATGTTATTTATCATGTAATTTAAGATTCAGACTGAACTTACAAAATAAATCCATGAATTGAATGTCAGTATCAGTAATAAAAGACACAGTAATAATACTATACCATGTTGTGAATGATAACTTAAAGGTGCATTGCGCAACTTTTCTAGTGCTTCTGGTGCTTTCGATATGTGCTTGTCTCCATGGAGATGTTATTGCTTTGCCTGAAATGTTCCACAGTATGACATTAAACATATCCATTTAGCATTTATTAATTACAGGTGTTTTTATTGCTCAAAAATACAATAATTCCTTCTGTGATCGGGGCGACTCTCCACAGATCTGAACTGTAATGTAGTGCTGTAACCTGCTGGTTACTTTTTCATTTGGTAGTTTTCAGAGTACAGTTACTTTTCTAAAATCAGAGAAGTACATTACGATGTTTGATCATGTAATTTAGGTTTCAAACTGCACAAAATCAGTGAGAAAAATAGAACATTTTGCTCTTGTGGTGAGTGCATGAGTGATTTTTCAGTGATAGGAAATGCTTTAAATGTTTTTTTAATCCAATGTTGCACCTTTACACTATAATTTAAATTCAACTCAATGTAAAAGTATTGTATTGTATAACTAAACACATTTTCATAGTATTCTTCCCATCACTGCTCCCAATACATCTCTTAAGTCATCTGTTTAAAAGATTTATTTATGAACAAAGAGAGTCAGGGCTGTAGCCATTAGTGATCTGCTGCCTGTAAGAATAATGTATATATTATGTAAATATTTCAATCTGTATTAGGAGCGTTGATGTGCTGCTCCCTCTGCTGGTGAGGAGTTGTCAGTGTTTGTTGTTGTTTGTTTTTAGCTGTATTTTAAATGTTACACTACAGATGAAAATGAGTGTGTAGCTAAATCTGGTCTATGCTTTATTTTTATTGTACAATGTCCCTGTCAAATAAATAAATAAACATAAATTCAGGTATAATTCAGATATAATATATGACCTTGAAAATATGTGTTTTTGTACATTACATCAATACCAAATGAAATGAAGCAACAGTGTGGGACAAAACAATAAGACTGAAACCAATTAAGGTGTTTTCAAAAAAAAAACAAAAAAAAAAACAATAATCTTAAACACATAACAAAAAATATTTCTAACTTTTCTAACAAATTTTCAGAAGATAAGGCTTTGCGATAAGATATGAAAAGAATCTAATAATTGAAAGACGTGGCAAAAGGAGAAATTCAATTTGTTAATTAGACAAAAGTTTATTCAGTTGAATATTTTTAGCAGCTCATCCAAGCTGTTTTTTTCAGTTCTTGAACTGAAGAAGCAGCTTTTGTCCAGTTGACAAATTGAATTTCTCCTTTTGCCATGGATTCTACTTGGACGACTGAGGGATTTTACTCAGATCATGAAAGACGTTAACATTATAATAGGCCTTCTTAAATTCCTCTATTAAAAAGTGTGTGTAAAAAAACTCTGGATACAGTTTTAGCCACGTTATAATGTTGTTACCTCCTCAAAAACATAGCTGGACTTGTGTTTTGTTTCATTCACACATTTTTGAGTAATTATTTATAATTCGACTGTCTACATCTCCAAAGCTCAAAATGCTCTGTTCCACCTTGTGATGTTATGAAGCAGAAGTTTTCAGCCACTTTTTACATTTTATTTTATATAGATTGGCAATTCCAGGGCAGAAATGATCCAAATGATTGCAGTGAAGACATATGGCGGTTAAAAACACAGTGGAGCACTTCCTGTTTAACCACATGGCATTGCAAGAGAGAGAATTCAGCCTATTTGGATTTGTGTGTTAAACGTGTGAATGAAACAAGACACAACTCCAGGTATGTTTGTGATGAGGAACATTATAACGTAGATCAGAAAACGGTGTAATATGGGCCCTTTAAGAACTGTTTGATTTGCTTTAAAAGGGTGAAGCGTTGGCTCTTGAAGTGTCTGATGCATAAACATGAGTACAGTGGGAAGCGGGAGGGCCCATGGGAAGGGGTGATCTGGGGCCTGGGCTGGCTCTCCTCTCAGCGGGGCAGCTTCTCCTTTAATTGGAGCACTTGTGGCACCATTACCTCCTTTACTCAAACACGTTACTGATGACAAAAGAAAACAGCTCTAAGCCAGCTTTTGTTCCAGAGCAGAAGAAGAGAGAGAGAGCAGAGAGGAGAGAGGAGTGGTATTCCTACAAGAAACCAATCTGTGGGAAGCAAGCAGACTCCCGCCATAAAGTACTTTTAGATTCAGAGAAAGATAAAAAGGAAAGCATAAGTTAAAAGTGCATTGCGCGACTTTTCTGGTGGAGGGTCCATTAAGTGCTTTTCACCATGCAGATGTTATTGCTTTGTCTGGAATGTTTCAGAGTAGGGCATTATACAGGACTACATTCATACCATACGCCGTACTGTATAACAACTCACCCTTATGTCACACATTATACTCCGTACAACTGTACAACTCATCCTTATGTAACAGACAATATTGCCTACAACTGTACAACAACTCACCCTTATGTAACAGATAATACTCCCTACAACTATACAACAACTCACCCTTATATAACAGATAATACTCCCTACAGCTGTCCTGTCAATTATCATATCCTTGTTGCTTGTCTTCCTAGACCTAGAGCTGTGATCTTATATTTTATTAAGATTATTACATTTATATAATTATGTCTCTTGGTCTTTTTTGCTACTTATTTAGAATTTATTATTACCATTTATATTTTTTGCTTTGTTATTATATTATATTGTGATGTGTGAGCTGCGGTGTCCAAATAATTTCCCTTGTGGATCAATAATCAAGTCTAATTCTAAGTTAAACCTTTCTATCATCATGAAGACCACAGTTACACGTCAGAATGCTTGTTTTTTTCCCGTATTTTTGGATATGTTAATGGAATATTATCCCAATGGCAAAATTTCAATTTTTTCTTACATTTCAAAATAATAAAACATCTTATTAGTTTAACTGAAGAACTTGCCTTTTGGCACAATGACTTTTCAGCTCATCCCCATCAAACAAGTTATGCCATATCCAGACCTGAAAATGTCCATGTTTATCTATGTTGGCACATGAGCGTCTCCAATGTGTGTTGACTTTGTGTGTTTAGTGACAAACACAAATAAGACAGAACTAAATAAATAACAGAGACAAATTGTCCGAGTGCAAAACTCGGCCTTTGATGCCGCTTGCTGCTTTACTTATTATTCAGCAATGATCGTGCACTTTTACTGAACAAGGCTGAACTAGAGACTTCTTTGTTGACAGTGGCCACAGTGTCTCTGAGGGGGATGGGGGTGTGACTTTTACCCCTGGTTTGACCTCATCTCAGAAGGAAATAAGAAATAAGACAGAAATACACAATTAGGCTTTTTGCTTTTTGTATTTAATCACATATAACAATTAATATTCATAAATAAATTTACACATTTCGCTCACCACTATAAATTCCTTAATACAATGACAATAATAAAAAAAAAATCCTTATTACAGCAAACCTTGCATCTCCCCTAAGATACTATTAATTCTTAATTCTTTCAGCGTTTCATTAAAAAAAAGAAAGCAATTAATGCAAAAACATGAAAATAAAGGGTCAGACTAATATAACAGCAATAATAATAAAGTGTTACTCAACTGAAATGATAATTTCTATTTATACAATATACATTTGTAGAGGCAAAAATGGTTTTAACAGTCTGAGCCAAAATCATACGATTAAAACACAACTTCAGAAAGCATGTTTTTTCAATCAAAAAAGATTAAGAATTTTGTGCAAATACTGAAATTAACTTTTTCACTTCAACATTTAGGTAAGAAATGTGTCAGTTCTGTTCCATGCTAAAATTTGACTCCACTCTGTAAAAACAAATAATAAAAAATCATTAATAAGAAGAGGTACAGCAAATGCATTTTCATTATTATAAAGTTGTACAGTTTTCCCTTACGACCTCTTGTATATAGCTGAGATATAGTTGTATTACTATATTTCTATATTTAATTTTTACTTGTACATTTATATTTATATAATATGCCTTATTTGAGACCAGTCTCTTGCTGTTTTTCCTTTTTTATTATAATATATTGTGATGTGTGAGCTGCTGTGTCCAAATAATTTCCCGTATGGATCATTAAAGCTCATCTCAATCTAAGTTTACATTATGGTACAGTTAAAATCTTCTACCTTAATAATGTTTTCTTTGTCTTATTTTTAGTTCAACAAAGACACCGCACGTACAGGGTCACATTGAACAGTGTTTAACCCAAACCCCTATAAACAAACAGGACTGTCCTTATGTAACAGAAACTGAGACAAATGACTGCACTGCACGTCTCGTTTCTTTCCTCGCCTCCTTCTCCTTGATTCCTCTTCTCGATTCTGCAGGAAATGGGCGAGGAAGTCCCACCCAAAGAGGAGACAAGGGGAGGAGAAAGGATATAAACTCCTCGCTGAGACCAATAAAGTTTGATTATTTTATCTGACGTCTGCCTCCTGAAACCTCCCTCATGTTTAGTCCTTCATTCTGTGGTTTTCTTTGGGACACCGCTTATTATGACACATTTGATTGACAGCTGAAAAGTGGTGTTTCGAGGAGAGGAATCAAGGAAAAGGATGCAAGGACAGAGAATTGAGATGTGGCCACTCCACTATATTCTACATCCAACAGAGTCAAGGAACAAAAGATCACTGGAGAATGAACTCTTTAGGATCTGCTGCCACCTTGAGGAAATGTTATGTCACAACACTGTTCTAACTACCATCTTAAACTGGCTCAAAGCTTTCACCCTCTGATTTACAAGGCTTCCTACCCTCTAGACTTAACTTTTAAAATGTAAGATAATTTGTGTTGTTGTTTTTAAATCAACTTGAATATATTAAAGGTCCTGTATTACACAAAATGGACTCTTGTGAGCTTTAAGCCATGTTATAATGTCTTTACCTCATCAAAAACAAAGCTGGAGTTGAGTTTTGTTTCATTCCACATATTTTAGTAATCCTTTATTATTGGTCTGTCTACATCTCCAAAGCTCAAAATGCTCTCTTCTACCCTGTGATGTCATGTAGTGGTAGTTTTCAAGCTACGAACTACTTTTACATTTTGTTCACTAGAGATTCAAATGATTCTAGTGAAAGTGTATGGAGTTTAAAAACACAGTGGAGCTAAATATGTGTTAAACATGCATGAATGAAACAAAACACAACTTTTTTTTGAAGAGGAAATGATATAACATTGTTATGGGCCCTTTAACAAACACTTTTTTGTCAAATGTGCTAAAGGATACTCACATATCTTTGTTCCTCATGTGGTTGTTGTACTGCAAGATAGGTGGAATGCTTTCTTCATCTTCTGGTACCTGTATAAACAAAAAAGAAACAAAAAAAAATCTGATCAGAAATAAAAATGATATCATGGAATAAGATAAGCTTGAAGTTTTCTGATTTTCTGTTCTGTGTTATAATGTGGTTTCCTCGTCACAAACAGCCCTGGAGTTGTGTTTTGGTTCATTCACACATGTTTAACACACAAACCCTGCGTATTTAGGGTGAGTTCTTCTCTCAAACTGAAAACACACTGTTCCACCTTGTGATGTTGTGGTAATACAGGAAGTGCTCCACTGTGTTTTTAAATTCCATGCACCCTCACTAGAATCATTTGGACCATTTCAGCTGTGGATTTACAGCCTGATTCATCAGCCGATTTCACTTCGTGGAAACCGTCTGACCTCACAGCATTAGGATTCATTCGCTCGACAATAGGTGGGTACTTTTTTTTATTTATCCAATCGCTGCTATTTAGTCGGGATGTATGTAATGCGCCGCTAACGGGGCTAAATGGTATAATAAGCTTTTCCCAAATCCCATAGGAAGAAGGGCAACAACGTCTTTCCCCTTGATAAAATTCACAAAACATTCTCTTTATTCCAGCTTTTAATCCACGATCTCGGGAATTGTTGCCAACACAGAATATATGACTCTTCGCTGATTGGCTGGTGCACGGACTCACACTTCCGGGGTTCGTGCAAACCGTCTCGTGTATTCTAATTCCTGACCTAGTCACTGGAGAGAAATGAAATTGAGCGGAGGCACTAGGTGGCGCCAGCCTGGCTAGTGGACTTGCCAATCTCTACTAAACAAAAGGTAAAAGGTAGCTGTTGACTTGAAAACTACCACTTCATGACATCAAAAGGTGGAACAGAGCATTTTGAGCTTTGGATGTAGACAGACTAATAATAAAGTTTTACTCAAACATGTGTGAATGAAACAAAACAGAACTCCAGGTCTGTTTTTGAGGAGGTAACAACTTTATAACAGAGCTTAAAGCTCACAAGAGTAAATTTTGTGTAATATAGGACATTTAAGAAAAGACCAGACTAGAGCCTCCTACCTCCCAGTACGGCTCGTCATCAAAGCAGTTGTCATCAGCAGGATCTCCCCAGATGGGTAAACGTAGAATACACCCTGAAAACATATTCATTTCATTTACTGACCACAAAGTTGTTAACCTCGGTTATTCTTTCATTCTTATTTCTATGTTTTGGCAATAAACTGGATATATAAATGGACATAGCTAACCCGCTTGCTGCTGTGTTCCAAATACTAAGTGATCATGTGGGTGTTTCCAGCTCCTTCGCCTCTGGCTCCAGTTGACTTTACACCCCTCTATCTGTAACTGCTGGGGTGAGCCTTGTCATTTTGATCTTAAAAATCTGCATGATCCTGGTGGTTTTATTTTGCAATTTTGTCCATAATTAATAATAAATTCCTCTTCCTAATATGGAACTGAACTCCAAATTCGCCTTGTGAGCTTCATTTGACTGGAGCTGAGCACTGTGGATTACGTCACACTCCCTTAGTCCACTTCTTTATACTCTAGTTTTGGTTAAGAGAAACCTAATGGAGCTTACCAACAATGATTCCTCCTCCGATACCAAAGCAGACAGCCACACAGATGCCCGCCGCCTGATGCCCTCCCTGTTTAGTGGGCGGCATGTTTTTGTAGGCACCCTCAAAGTCAAAGGTGTTAATCAGTCTGTGACAAAAAAGAAATAAGAAAGAAGAAATAATGCCTTTTCTTTCACTTAATTTCGAAACTACAAACCTTTTACAACAAAAACAGACCTGGAGTTGTGTTTTGTTTCATTCATACATGTTAAGCATGCAACTTCTGCTTATTTAGGCTGAGTTCTTCTCTCTGTTCCACCTTGTGATGTCATGTGGTAATACAGGAAGTGCTCCACTGTGTTTTTAAACTCCATACACCTTCACTACAATCATTTAGATAATTTAAGCCCTGAAATTTCCAATCTCTACTGAACAAAAGGTAAAAGGTAGCTGACATCACAAGGTGCAACAGAGCAGTTTGATGTTTGGAGAAGTGGATGGATTACAGGTTACTCAAACATGTGAAACAAAATGAACAAAACACAACTCCACATATGTTTTTGATGAGGTAACAACATTCTAACGTCGCTTAAAGCTCACAAGAGTCAATTTAAGATCTGTCTCACCCTTCGTGACCGTAGACAGACTCAGATGCGGCTGCAGCTGTGATGGCTCCTACAATTCCCCCAATGAGTCCAGGCATGGCATGGAGATTATGGATTCCACATGTGTCTTGGATTTTAAGATGCTTCTCCATGAAAGGCTAAATAAAACATATATGATGCTAAGAAAAGAATAGAAATAGAGCTAGAGTGAATTCTAAAACTTTGCTCCTGTTGACCTCACCACTTCTCCAGAGTTTACCTGATCCTTTTGCTTCTCTCATCTTTTCATCATCCACTTAACTCTCCTCATCCTCTCATCATTCCCTTCACTCTCCTCATCCTCACATCATCCTCTTCATTAACCTCATCATCTCATTGTCTCTTCACTCTCCTCATCCTCTCATCGTCCCCACCACTCTCCTCATATTCTCAATGTTCCCTTCACTCTCTTCACTCTTCTCATCCTCTCATCATCCCTTCACTTTCCTCATCCTCTCATCATCCCTTCCTCCTCTCTTCGTCCGCTTCACTTTTTTCATCCTCTCATCGTCCCCTTTACTCTCTTCACTCTTCTCATCCTCTCATCGTCCCCTCATCCTCTCATTGTCCCCTTAACTCTCCTCATCCTCTCATTGTCCCATATTCTCTCTTCACTCACCTCATCCTCTCATCGTCTCCTTCTCTCTCCTCATCCTCTCATCATCCATTTCACTCTCCTCATCCTCTCATTGTTCCTTTTACTTTCCTCATCCTCTCATTGTTCCTTTTACTCTCCTCATCCTCTCATTGTTCCTTTTACTTTCCTCATCCTGTCATCGTCCCCTTCTCTCCTCATCCTCTCAACGTCCCCTTCACTTTTCTCATCTTCTCATCGTTCCCTTCACTCTCCTCATCCTCTCATTGTTCCTTTTACTCTCCTCATCCTCTCATCGTCCACCTCACTCCTTCAAAGATAACTCATTGAATAAAACGTCTTGAGGCTGAAGTGAGGGGCTTACAGTGAGGTAGATGTAGCCCAGTGTCGAGATGATTCCACAGCAGAACCCGACGATGAGGGAGCCGTAGGGCATCAGCATGAACTCAGCCGCCGTCCCCACAGCGACGCCTCCAGCGAGAGTCGAGTTCTGGATGTGAACCTGAAAAATATGAGATCTCAATGAACCCGTTTTTTTTGTTTTTTTTTTTTTTTTTAAGGGCCCATATTACGCAATTTTCTGATTTGTGTTATAATGTTGTTTCCTCATCATAAATATACCTGAATTTATGTTTTGTTTTTTTTTTTTATTCACACACTTCAACACACATATCCTGCATCCTTTTGGGTTTTAAAACTCCATACACCTTGACTAAAATTATTTGGATGATTTCAGCTCTGGAATTGCCCATCTTTACTGAACAAAAGGTAAAAGGAGCTGTTAACGTGAAAGGAGATGTTGACAAACTAATAAAGGATTACTCAAACATGGGTGACTGAAACAAAACACAAATCCAGGTATGGTTTTTGACGAGGTAGCGGCATTATAACATGGCTTAAAACTCATAAATTTTGTGTACTATAGGACCTTTGACTGTAAATGGTTTGGCTTCTTTATTCTTACCATGTCTAATTTTCCATGCTTTTGGAAGAGACTGGAGATGGCCATAGTTGTGAGTACAGTTGAGGCTAAAGCTAAATATGTGTTGATAGCTGCTCTGTGTTGACCGTCCCCATGGTCAGTGATGGCTGAGTTGAAGCTCGGCCAGAACATCCACAAGAAAAGGGTACCTGAAATACAGTTTTGAAGTCTTTTTAAATGTAAGACTTGATTAATTAAATTATCACTTGTGTCTGTGTGAATAAAACATACCAATCATGGCAAAAACATCAGAGTGGTAGACGGAGCCCTGCAGACGGCTGCTCTGGTCCAGGTTCGGTCGGTAAAGCATCCATGAGACGGAGAGTCCATAATAACCTCCAAAAGTGTGGATGACCATGGAGCCGCCAGCGTCTCTGGCCTAAAAAAATTAAGAATATTGTAAGTTTTTGTTTACACAGTATTAGAACGTAAGAAAGTGAAAGTAGTAAGTTACTTCACTTAAGTACATTTTAAACTGGATGCTTTTACTTCACTACTTTCTTGAACCAGACTGAAAAGTAAAAGTATTTTTACTCTTGTGTGAAACCTGCTGAAAAGCCTGAGGGTTTATTTTTTTAACATTTGTAGTTTGAGCAAACATAAACAAATATAAAAAACAGCAAGCAAAGGAAGACTGATTCAATTGTTTCTGCTGAATAAAACTTAGTGCAAATCTTTATCAAAATCAATACATTTTAAGCCTCAAAATCTGTACAAAATTCTTAGACTTTTTACTCTTTAAGTATATTTTTAAGCAGGTACTTTAATACTTTGGGAGGGGACTGTTTTTGAGTATGGAACTGCATTAAACAGAGAAATGTCATGTACTGTGCAGAAAAATAGACCAGAAATGCAGTTCTTACTGACATGAATGAGACTGAGGATGATGTATTCTTCCACAGCAAACAGGGTGATTCCAAACAGAGTGAGGACCATGAGCTGGACTGGACTGACTTTACCCAGCACGGCTCCATAGGCGATCAGACACCCAGCCACACAAAAGTCTGCGTTGATCAAACTACAGAAAGAGACACTGAAGTTAAAGGTCCTATATTACACAAAATTGACTTGCGTGACACTTTAGCCATGTTTTAATGTCACCTCATCTGGAGTTGTGTTTTGTTTCATTCACACATATTTGAGTAATCCTGGTTTATCTGGTCTACTGGTTTTCAGTAGAGATCGCCAGTTCCAGGGCTGAAATTATCCAAATGACTCTAGTGAACGTGTGTAGAGTTTAAAAATGCAGCAGATCTTTTCCTGTATTACCACATGACATCACAAGGTGGAAGAAAGTGTTTTCAGTTTGAGATAAGAACTCAGCCTAAATATGCAGGATTTTTGCGTTAAACATTGCGTAAATGCAACAAAACACAACGCCTGGTATGTTTTTGATGAGGAAACATTATGACATACTTTTGAAAATACCATAATATGGGCCCCTTTAGTACAGAGAAATTTCCAGAATCAACTTTTCCATGTCTTGTTGTCTTACGTCACAGCAGGAGTCAACATTCCCATAAAAAGACTGACTTGGCAGCGCTTCATTGGCTACTTTCATGGAGGCATGACTCTTTATTTACTCTACAAACTGTCTCAAGACACTTTTTACAGTCAACAACGGAACAGTAGATGTCTGACTGGTTTCTCCACCTCTGTGCAATTTTGATTTGGGAAAATATGCAGGTAGATAGAGTTTTTTTTCCCAAGTAGGAATACAATACAAGCCAGTGGTTAGTTTCATCGTTCTAGGTAATGTATGAATGAAAAGTTACATAATGTGCTGCACCTGATCTGTGATTGTAAAGAATACCACCACTATACAATTTTAAGCACAAAAGAAAATGAGACACCCACTTTTCGACTCCTATTTTGATTTTTCCATCGGTGTAGTCCAAGGAGTGGAACCAGCCCTGCATCAGAAGCGCCCACTGGAGTCCGAAAGCCGCGATCAGGAAGTTAAACCCCACGGCACCAAAACTGTATCTCTTCAGGAACGTCATCAAGAAACCGAATCCAACGAAGATCATCACGTGGACATCCTGGAAACCTGGAGGAACAAATGTGGGAGGGCATTTGATTAAAGTGGTCGGACTCTTGTGAGCTTTAAGTCAAATTATCAGCTCCCTTTTAGCTTTTGTTCAGTAGACATCAGCGATTCTGGGTCTGAAACCATCCAAATGATTCTAATGAAGGTGTATCGAGTTTAAAAACACAGCGGAGCACTTCCTTAAGCTTGATTTCATTTATTTATGTACTTATTTTTCAGATCATTTACCAAAAGGGAGATAAGAATCAGGGCAAAACAGATCTCAAGGACTGTTTTTTTACTGCCCACATGTACTCCTGCCTGCTTGGTGCCAAAGATGTGTTCAGATGACACAAGCTCAAATCAAGATACAGTTATTATATGGCTTATTAGAATATTTTTCAGTGGGCATGTCATTTCAAATAAAAACAAAACATTAAATTGAATATGCATGAAATTATGTGTAGACTGTGTTCACTTTTTGTCATTTTTTAAAAGAATAAATAGGTAAATCACTTTAATTACGTGAGCTGTTGTCTGTCACTATATTAAAGATTCTATATTAGCTATATTCTGATCTGTGTTATAGTGTTTCCTCATCTCCAAACCTACCTGGAGTTGTGTTTTGTTTCATTCTCACACTTTTAACACACAAATTCTGCATATTTAGGCTGAGTTCTTCTCTTAAACTGAAATCCATTACAGGTTTTAGTCATGTTATAATGTTGTTTCCCACTCAAAAACTGACCTCAAGTTGTGGTTTCACTCACACATGTTTAAGTAATCCTTTATTATTAGTGTGTCTACAACTTCTACAAAGCTTAAAATGCTTCAATCCAACTTGTGATGTCATGTGGTGATACAAGAAGTGCTCCGCTGTGTTTTTAAACTCCACACACCTTCACTTTTAGAATCATTTGGATGATTTCAGCCTTGCAATTGCCAATCTCTACTAAACAAAAAGCTAAAAGGTAAGCGTTAACTTGAAAACTACCACTACATGACATCACAAGGTGGAACAGAGCATTTTAAGCTTTGTAAATGTAGTAGACACTAATAATAAAGGATTACTTAAACATGTGTGAGTGAAACCACAACTCCAGGTCAGTTTTTGAGGAGGAACCAACATTATAACATGGCGAAAACCTGTAATGGATTTCAGAGAACTGTAAAGACAACATTTTGGGTGCTTTTAACATTAAAAAGATCGGATTTTTTTGTATTTAATTAACATAGCAAGTAGGGTTGTAATGATATCCAAATCTCTCAGTACGATATTATCACGATATGCATCTCATGGTATTTATTGTGATATTTTGAAGAGGCTATTATAATTGTAGATAGGACACTTTTTTGCTTTTAAAATACCTTGACAAGATTTTGGTGTGAATTATTTCTGTCATAATCCCAAGAATTTAAGTAAAAACATATTTCTTCATGTTATTTGCACTGAAATGAATCATGGAATATGGAGTTCCCAATGTTTATAAGCTGTTGTTACTATAAAACCATGCATTTAAACAAAGAAAGTTGTAATTCGATACATTGTGACAGCCCATGAGACGATACGATATTAAGATATTTCAGTTATTGTTACATTCCTAAGAGCAATGACCTTAATTTTTCCTCATCCTTAAAAAACGTGGACTGAAAACAGTACAAAAAACAATCTAAAATGTGTAATATAATAACACTTTTTGACATCTGTCCTATTTGTTATGCAACACGCTGTATAGCAACTGCTGCCTTTGTTCCTCCATATGTCATGACAATACACACACACACATTCCTATCTATTGTACTGAGAGGATAAAAGACCTCGAGCTCATACACACCGTTCCACACACAACAATGTCAGGAATAACATTTATCATTGGACACCCTACACCATAACGGAGATGGCTTCTTGATAACATGGTCATTGACACCAAAAGATGTACCTCTACTGTGCAGTACAATGTAACCCCACCCATGCCACATACTGAAGGACGGTTAATCTTTAGCAGAACTTGCAAAATTGTGTAATTAAAAATGGTGTTTGTTTTGCTTAATTGTAGATGGAGTGGAAATGATGCCTGAAGTGTCCCATGGGAGAAGCAATGTATCTTAAGAGCTTTGTCAGCAACTTAGGTAATTAGATCGTCATAAATACAGGATTCACAACAATGTAATAGTATAAAAAAAAGAGTCAGAATAAAGGAAACATTATGAACAAATAGTCAATCACAAAGCTAATATCGAATTGCATCTTGAAAAAAAAAAAAAGAGGAAAATTAAAATAGGTCTTTTGGATTGTCTGTAACTATTGCAACAGTTTGAATTCGTTACCACTCTGAAAAGTAGGTACTATATATAACTATATGTTTTTATGTATGTCCATAACCAAAAAACAAGATGTTTACATATGCAAATCTTAAAACTGTCTTGAAGGAGTAAATAGAAAATAAGAATTGAAAAAAAAGGAGGGGAAAAAAATGTAGGATAAAAAATCTGACATACTAAATATGACAAAATCATACAAATATAATAAAAACATGCATTCTTCCTCCTCATTTATATCAAAAAGCAAAAGGTAAACTGAAAATAAAAGGCGAAACTTACTTGGATATCTGAAGTAGAAGTCATTCTCAATGTCACTTGAAATATTATGGGCTTTCTTGTGCTCTACCCAGTGTGGGTCCGACTCCTCATCGTACCGGATAAAAACACCAAACAGAATAATCATTGCTATTTGCCACACGAAGCAAACAGCTGGAAAACTAATTCTCACATTTGTATTTTTAGGGCCGTCACACAGCTCCCTAAAGCTCTGCACGCAACCCATTTTTTAAAAGATTTTTTCAAGATATGTTCAAGTTCCAGGACAATATGAGAAGGAAGAAGCAGCTTTAACAGTCTTAACAGCTCTATTAATTCTGCTTACAGCTGAGGATGAGCTTAAGGGGAAGGGTGGTGATGGTCCTCCCAGTGACACACCCCCAAAGACAATATATAAAAGTGGAATGTGTCTCTCAAGGACTCCAGGGCTTTTGAGCTGTACAATCTAATATGACTTATTAAAAGTGCACTATGTCTGGAAAGTATGACAATAAACAGCTCTACCTTACATTTATTCAATTACAGGTGGTTTTATAGCTCAAAAATAACTAGAAACGCAGGTATTCTGACTGTCAGCGGGGTTTCTGTTACGACCCAGCTCATTGGGGACAGGGAAGTAACAAAATACCCAAGATGTAAAATGGAATAAATGAAATAATGTTTAATTAATAGGGATGTAGCAAGTAAATTAACAAAACAGACTAAAATATATACAGAATATACCCTAAACTAAGAAACAAAATAACAGAATTACACAGTTTTGTGCCACAAAACGGGTCACGCAGGCTTATACAAAAACAAAAACAATTGCCTTTCCACAGATCTGACTTGTAAAAGATAGAAAACTTCACCACTGAGAAGGATCTCCATCAGGAAAATTATACAGTGCTTTAAGTTCTAAGTCATTACTTACTAAAAACCTTTTGAAATGTATAAATATATTTTTAAAACACATACAATTACATCCACCCTAAACACAAACATTGCATATCTCCTCATTTTCCATTGTAAATATAAGAGCAAAACCTTTGTCAGTAGTTATGATTGGTTAGAAAGACATGCTTATATGTTTTGTTACATTTAGTACTATTGACAGTAGAGATTAACAGACAATGTAAAGTGTATCACATGACACAGAACAATGGCAATCCTAGTTTTTAACGTCGTTCACGGAGCTCCACGTGTTTCGCCTGAAGCGTTGGAAAACAGAAATACATGTGTGTGCGATGTGTGCAGTCTTTACCGGCATGTACTCTCCCACGTGTTTGTTCAGAGGGCATCATATATACAAAACACAAACCAAAGCATGACATTTCAAACCAAAAAAAAAAAAAAGAAAAAGAAAATCCTGAATGAGCCGGAATCCAAAAGTGGAATGAAAGTCAAAACACTGGTTGTAATTGAAGAAGGTAGGTCTTTATTTATGTTTTATTAATTTTAGGTTTACTTTTCAGACATTAAGTCGACCATAATTTGAAGATAGTGTCTGTAGTTTGTTAGTTACTTTGTTGTGAAGCACTTTGTAAATGATATATAAGTGGTAATTGTGTGTTTTAAAAGACCAATCAGGCAGAGCAACTTTCAAATGGTGTAAGTAAAATACTGGTTAAACTATTAAAATGTACTAATGCAATGATAAAAATAAACAAATAAAATAAAAAGGTGAAACTTACTTGGATATCTGAAGTAGAAGTCATTCTCAATGTCACTTGAAATATTCTTGGCTTTCCTGTGCGAATAAAACACATGATTATTCTGTTTGGTAAAATACTTTTGTTTATTAAAGGTGCACTATGTAAATTTTGTGGGGTTTCTATGGATATGTCATTGCTCTGACTGGAAAGTTCCACAGTATGACATTAAAGAGCTCTACTTTACATTTATTCAATTACAGGCGTTGGTTTTATTGTTCAAAAATGACAAAAATTGCCTCTTCACAGATATGATCCATAATTTGGTCTGGTTTGGGCTCCATGAAGATAGAAAAGTTTAATCCCATTCTGTGAAACATTCCAGACAAATCAATAAAATCTCCATGGAGAAAAGCATCTGACGGACCTTCTACCAGAAAAGTTACACAATACACCTTTAACCCTCCTGGTACATTTTTATACATCTCAGCTTTTCTTTTTTGCATAACTTTGGCTATATTGCACCAAATAGCACCAGAATTGACCAGATGTGTATTTTGTGATGTGTTTTTAATTTCTTTCAAAACCACATTAATTGAACAGTCAGGAATCGAAATAATCACACCCGTGGTCCTTAGGTACATGTTTGTCCCATTGACTTCCATTCAAAATGCTTTTTTTTTTTACTATATAACTATAACTTTGCCAGTATATTTTTACTTTATGATGTATTTTTCATTCTTTGATGTTAAAAACCCTTCAAAATGTTTTATTTTAGCCTCTTTTTGATTATTATTCTTTTGCTGTGTATCTTCCATTACAAGGTTATATCAATAGAAAGACATTTGTACATATTAGTCCACACTGAAGACCCAAGACAGAGATATTTGAGGTTAAAATGATATGGTTGTGTTCTAGAGGAGTCCCCAGCTTCTGATAATCCCAACACAAACTAATTAAAATTCCTTGAAAGATATAGAAAAACATAATTTACACATAATTTGATACGTTTGCTGTCAAAAATGGCATTTAAGGGGTTAAAATTTCAAAATATACATTTTTTGGTATGTATGATTAGGGCGGAAGTAAATGAAGACATTGATATTAAAAAGTTGGACAAAAATCTTTGTGGTATTCTTTTCTGGTGTACATTTAAGCAGGTGCACAAGGTTTAAGTAATCATTTTGTTGATTCAGACTTGAGTTCTGGACACATGCAAGTGAACTGTTCCATTGTTCTGACGACAGATGACTGATCGTACCAGGAGACACTAAACAGTAAATAAATAGAGTTCAGGTGACTTCATGCCACCTTCAAATTCCCCACATGTCTTCAGTCAGTCACAGCCCACTCATGTTAAAGGGGTGTAACCTTTCTGCTGGAGCTTCCATCATCTGATGAAATAATATACAGTACAGGAATATTCATGTGGAACAGTTACTTAATACTTATATTCAAACATCCACACTATGTACACATTTTCTAATCCAGTCCTGAATTATTTAATGAATTATTATATAAATATTTGTTTGAACATCAGTTAAAAAGCACATAATGGTGCATCAGTTCACAGTAATGATTATATAAAGAGATCAAATGTGATAAATAGGAATATGCTATGGAGTCCATGATGCTCAAAAGGAATAGGAAGAAGTTTTAAAACATGGAACTTCAAGAGAAAAACACATAAAACTACATGCAAGTATGGTTTATAACTATAACTCTAAACCATTCTAACTTGAGTCGAAGTTGATACTGATCAAATGACGTGAGTATTTTTTATCTTGTCCAAACCTTGTGGGGCATAAAACAAAATATAACTGGTCTACATCAAAGCTGTGTTGAGTAAATAGCACACCAGATTGTTTGTGAGTTCAGCAGGTGGACATAAAAGCATTTTGTACTGGTACAATGACTCCCAGTGGAGCTTCATTAAAAAGACTGAACAGGTACTCACCCGCCGTGCCCAAGTTATTGCCCTGGTGACGTCAGTCTACCAGATAATGTGCCACTGAAACCTGTGCTGTTGAAGAGGGAGGGTGTGCTCACTTGTGTCCTGATTTGGTCCTGATTTGGTCCTGACTGAGCCCAGTTTAGACCTGATGTTGACCTTGGCTGGTCATTGTCCTGGGTTTAGTCCCTTTAAAATATTAATGTGGTTGTGATTTGTGTAAAAAGAACAACTTCACTAATAACGATCGCATTTTTTTCTATAATTGTAAGTAATTCTACCACTATAACCTTAAAAGCATCACACTGTATTGAGATACAGACCTGAAATTAATGTTCAGAGATTTATTAACTCTGCAGTGGCTCTGTTAAAAACTTTGTAAAATGCACCTGTCTGAATGACTTACTGTATTGGGCCCTCTGCTATGATAATAGTTCAATATTTCTTTGGTGAGATAAGTTTGGACAGCTCTGTTCTAGATCATTTACTTTTTTATTATGGCTGCCAATTGTGTATTTTTTATCTTCACTTATTCGCTTATCTTAATTTTATATTACAATATCAATAGTTTTATTTTTCAATTTCAAGATTGTTTTTATTACTAATGAGTTTCTGTATTGTGTAATTTCCCTGGTGGCTCAATGATGCTTGTGAAAAACTGTTTACAGCAATTAGCAGACTTACGCACATCACTGCTTTGTATACTTAGAAAAAAGTTGAGAAATGTCCAGCAAATTGTTTGAGACAGCAATACCAAGATTTGTTTAGAAACGTTACTCAAGCTTGTGTCTTAAATTACTTGTTTAATGAATATTTACTTTGGCATTCAAATGTGAAGGGCACAAGATAAATTAAGGCAAGTGTAATAGCTATTATTCTATGCACTTGTAAAAATGAACACTTGTAACCAATTTGTACATTTTTATTTTTTTTTCCGTTTGATTTGATGTTCCTTGCATTTGTGCTTCCATCAAAAACACACCTGTAGTTGTGTTTTGTTTTATTCACATATTTTGTCTACATCTTCAAAGCTCAAAATGCTTGATATCATGAAGCGATTGTTCAAATTAACAGATACCTTTTACCTTTAGTTTAGTAGAGACTGGTAATTATCCAAAGTATTCTAGTGAAGGTGTATGGAGTTTAAAATCACAGTGACGATGCACTTCCTCTATTATCACATCACAAAGTGGAACAGAGTGTTTTCGATTTGAGAGAAGAACTAATTTTAAATATGCAGGTTAGAAACAAAACACAACTCCAGTTTTTGATGAAGAAACATCATTATAACATACATTACCAGTCAAAAATTTTAGAACACCCTAATTTTTCCAGTTATTTATTTCAATTCAATTCATGCAAGTCCAATGAAGAGCTTGAACTGGTACAAAGGTAAATACTGAACAGCCAGGGTTAAAAAAAAGAGAAGATAACAAAACACAAGTCTAAGCTCTGCCAAAACTGCCTCAGGAAAAAGATGGTAAGCTTGAAAACATGGAGTATCCAGTACAGTCTCCAGGCTTAAACCCCATCAATCTGGTTTGAGATGAACTGGACAGAAGAGTGAAAGCCAAGCAACCTACAAGTGCCACACATTTATGGGAACTTCTGCAACAGACTTGGGAAGAACTCACTGAAGAATATTTGATTTCTATTGTAAAAAAAGCACGAGCCACGAGTGTGTTCAACTGTTATATCTGCCAAAGGTGGATACTTTCATGAATCAAAAGTTTAGAATATGTTTTGGTCAACAGTAAACATTCAAAAAATGGAAAAAGTGTGGTGTTCTAAAACTTTTGACCGGTCGTGTAGATCAGAAAATAGCGTAATATAGAATTGAATGTACTTTTCATATGGGCCAGTATAATATTTTGGTCATTTAACAATACAATACGTAGCCTATCTATGCTGTACTAGATTACATTATGACTTGCTCAAATGTTCTATAAGATGCTGCTCCAAAGTGACAAACTCGTCTTTAGGAAGAAGATATTTGTTGATGATTTCAGTGACCCCTTCTTCTGTTGCCTTCTCAAAGTCCATCTTGTTTTTGAACGGTAAATGACCCGCCAGCTCACACAGGGCCACATTAAGAGCTGACTCCTCCTTTGCACCGAAGCAGGATTTTCTGGGCCACACAAAAATGCGAACACCTTTCCTTGAACTGTTTTCCATTTCACTGAGTTTGTCATTATGTGGTGGACATCCTCTGGTGAGAAACACATTATGAGCGATGTTTGTGATTTACAAGAAAGTCTGTTACTCTGCAAATGTTTTCTGCTACTTTGTCTATAGACTTCACTTCAGTGTAAAAAACAAAACCAGCATGGTAGTTAATTAAGCGATGGAAGTGTTTTTCAGGAAGAAGTGTCTCTATAGAAATGGACTCAAGGGCTAGTTCGTGGTCAAGGTAATATCCGTGTAAGTGGAGGTGGTTGACGGAAGCGAATCCACCAAGACTGTTAAAACCAACTCGAAATCCAGGATCAGAACTCAGGAAAAACGCTTTCTATACCAATCTCAATGGCAAACTTTGTGAGGACTTGGGGATAACATTGTAAAGGATCAGGGACAAATAGACAGTGGCCAAACTCTAGAGGGCTAACGTTAACTAGTACTATCATTTTTCTAGTAGTAGTATCATTCAGACCATCCCTCGAGTTTTCACATTTTGTCATTTCACATATAATTTCGTCTGGGTTGATTTTGTTGAAATTGAACTGCTTGTGATTGAACTCCTGTTGAATGCTGAGAATCTCTTGAGGCTTGCGTCGCTCTATACCTCTCTGTATATTCAGCTGAGCCACATAGCCATAGTTGCCAGGTAGGATGTGGGTTTGCAGATCGTTCAATTTGTACCGGAAAAGGCCCTTCTCCATTCTCTCTGTCCATCCATCTTGAATGACAGCGTCAAATGGTGCTGACGTCTTTGTGGTTTTGTCATTGCTTCGTTGCACATCGGTGAGGAAATCTTCATGGCTGTAGATAAACTGGAGTGCCATGTCTGGACCTGCTAATGAACAAGCAAAATTAGTTTTATTTTGACAACAAGATAGAATGCAAAGACAGGGGAATTAGTGTTGTCACGATTCTAAAAATTCTCGACTTGATACTCAATACAGATTATGATACCACAATGAAAATAAAAACACTATTTAGACCAGGAGTGCCCAAACTGGGGCTCTGAGATTTTAAGAAGACTCTATTTAAATCCAATCTTACTGAAAAGACTGTCAGGAGATGGGAAGGAGGCCCGTCCTGTCTATTTCCTAATATTTTAAGTTAACTTAATTGTGGTCCATAAGTGGTCCATAAGTGTATATACTAGTTCTCATACAGTTCAACATCATTCTAAAGTAGGGTGACCAGATGTCCCTATTTACCCGGGCCCCAGTCCCAGTTTTGAGCCCTGTGTCCCCTGTCCCAGCAGATTTAGCCAAACCTAATAATTTGTCCCAGTTTTATACAAGAAATGCCCCAGGTGTCCCTATTTTTGACCAATCTGATACCTGTGAACAGTAAAGAGAGGCATACATTGTTATTTGTTTTGGTAAAATACAGAAAAGCTGCTTAAAATGACCAAAACATAAATAAAATGTGATTATACTGACCCATATTAATCATGAATGGGCTGCGCAGAACAATTTTCCTTAATTAAGCACCTGTTTCACAGTTTTATTATTACTAACCACCACAAACCAGGGGTGTCACAGATTATTTTTAAAATCTGGTCACCCTAATCTAAAGATATTCAGGAAAGGTTCAATTCTGTCTTGTTGATGTGACTTTGTTTTAGTATCTCAAGCTGCTCAAATAGTATCTAGTTCTAGTTAGTTCTAGTTAGTTTTAGTATTGTTTCGTACTGGATTTTCAGTACTTTTAAACCTAAAAGAAACAAGCACAATGTTATTCAAAATGGAGATACAGAGGCTTTGTTTATGCCATGAATAACATAGCTCACAACACAACATCAGATTGCATTTAGATCTTAAACTAGACAAAATCCAATATAGTTAGGGTGACCAAATGTCCCTATTTACGCACAGCAGTCCCAGTTTTTAGCCCTGTGTCCCCTGTCCCTGCAGATTTATCCACAACCAGTGAATTGTCCCAGTTTTATACAAGAAATGTCCCAGGTGTCCCTATTTTTGACCAATCTGACCCCTGCTAACAGTAAAGAGGAGCATAAAATGTCATTTGTTTCGGTAAAATACAGAAAAGCTGCTTAAAAATGACCAAAACACAAAGAAAATGTGACTATACTGACCCATGTTAGTTGTGAATAAGTTATGAATGAACATTTTTCATTAATTACGCACTCGTTTCACAATTTTATTATTACCAACCACCACAAAACCAAGCGTCCCAGTTTTTGATTTTGAAAGACTACACCGATTTTATGAGATATATATTAGAAGTGCTGTTAAAAGTAATGACTGAGTAGTTACACTTGAGCTGCCTGGCTCAGTGTCACATTTTCACATTTTGACTTGTGACTAAGCACATAAACGCTCACCTTTCACAAACTAAACGTTATCCCATAAACGCCAAAGTGTTCGCAGAAATACAATATCACGTAAATATAAGAGAAAATATATGATCTAATGTGTTTAAATTGTAAATATCGAGTAAACTCAACCCTAATAGATTCATGACTCAACCAACGTGGTCCTTTCACCTGCCGGTCATGTTGTGTTTCCGGGTTCGTGTTTTTCAGAATAAAACGACAGATTTCAGCGTAAAATAAGATGCGCAATTTAATTAATGCATTAATTAATAACAGGTGTTTGTTAGTTTTTAGCAAATTACAACGACATTTTACATACAATAGGGTAAAAAAAAAATCAACAAATACAAATAAATTATAATTTAAAAAAAGTATTCCAATATAAAACAATGAGACATTTATTTAATTTAATTCTTCTTATTATTTTTTTAACCATAGCCTGCTTCAGTATCGAGGCCTATATATTGCCTACTATAAGTCTACACTGTTTAGATATTCTTTCATGTTTTAATCAGACTATAGCTCTGTGCTATATTGCAATAAGCAGCTGTCATGAGTATCTAGAGCTGACCAATCAGGTGTCACTGTTATTTCTGTCCCTGCATGCCTTTGGGGATACAGCAGTGGGACAAATCTGTGTCACAAAGTTTGGGATAGCCACAAACTAACTTACGCAGTTACTTTTACGCAGGAGAAGTGAGTGAAAAGTGAGGAATAATGGAAGAAAAAGGCAATCAGGTAAGAATAACTGTCTTCAATATATTACCTTATGTTAAATTACCTTCAGTTTGCATTTTTCTGTCAGAGAATAGTCTGCTTGTAAGATTGGATATAGCCCTGCTGAGTAATGTTTGGGGTTTAAACCTGCCAACAGTTTTACTTTTATTTATAAGTGCCACATTAGGGGGTCATTGATAGGACCAGATTTTCACTATTTTGATGTTTTGGTTTCTATTTTTTTTAAGGCAGGAAAGACAGCTGCTGGTGCCTCAAAGGATTCACAGTCATCCTCCAAATCCTCAGCCCAAGGTATGTCTCATTGTTCTATTTAGATTTAGGCCTGTTGAAATGGCCTACTTTTAGGGCCTAATTATGGGTATCCCTGTGGTAATATATATATATATATATATATATATATATATATCGGCTGTGACACTAAGATAAAACCTCGACAGTTTAATTATGGTTTTACAAGTATATTAGCTAATAAGTAACTGTAAAATTTAATAATGAATGTTATCTGAACTAGGTTTACAAAGACTCCAAAACATGAGATGTTTGTGTAATCCTTCTTCAATTTTTTTTTTTTTTTTTTTTACTATGTGCTGAGAGATTTTATGACTTGGACAAAGCAGTTGACCTAAATGCATTAAAATGACAATGTGTAAATTCAGTGTTTTTGAGTAGTGTACTGATCTCATAGATTTTATTATAGTTCTATGACTGATCTATGTTATTATAATGTCATTACCTTTTCAAAAACATGCCTGGAGTTGTGTTTTGTTTCATTCACACTTGGTTATCACACAAGCCCAGCATATTTAGAGTTCTTCTCTCTCAAACAGAAAACACTCCACCTTGTGATGTCATGTGGTAATACATGAAGTGCTCTACTGTGTTTTTACACCTTCACTAGAATCATCTGGATAATTTCAGCCCTATAGTATTATATCTCTTTTGGACTAAGGGTAAAAGCCAGCTGTTAACTTGAAACCGCTTCATGACATCACAAGGTGGAACAGAGCATTTTAAGGTTAAGTAAAGTAAGTTGTTAGTAAGTAAACAGACTAATAATAAAATATTACTCAAACATGTGTGAATAAAAAAAACAAAAACAAACAAACACACCTCTGGGTATGTTTTTGATGAGGTAATAACATCCTAACATGGACTAAAGCTCACAGGAGCCAATTTTATTTAATATAGGACCTTTAACTTTACCTTGCTCCAATTTAGTAAAAATGTCATATTCATTGGCAAGTGATGAATTATTTAAAATAACCACAAGATTAAATGTTTTGCACAGTGATATGATCGTTAGTTATTAAAGTGCTTTGCAATAACAGGGATGGCATGTTCACAAACTATTGTACATTGCTGAGTCAGTGTCTGCATTGTCAACGATCTTGTTTGATGTTGTCATGATTATAAAACTTCAAAGCTGAAATTAAAACATGACTCTTACGGTGAAGGTCAGACAGGATAATTTATTTTAGGATGCGACAATGAGAGCTGTCAACAAAGTAAGCAGACATATATTATCCATTGTGCTAAAACAAACATAAAAACAAAATCATTACAATTCAGTAGTTGTTTTACATATCGTCCTTAAATGTCCTGTATTACACATATTGGGTTCTTGTGAGCTTTAAGTCATGTTATAAAGTTGTTACCTCACCAAATACATATCCAGTTGTTGTGTTTTGTTTCATTCACTCATGTTTGTGTAATCCGTTATTATTAGTCTGTCTACATCTCCAAAGTGTATCCAATGTATCTACTGATGGTGTATGGAGTTTAAAAACACAATGGAGCACTTCCTGTATTACCAAATTACATTAAAAGATGGAACAGAGTGTTATCTGTTTGAGAGAAGAACTCCAAAATATGCAGGGTTTGTGTTTTAAACATGTGTGAATGAAACAAAACACAATTCCAGGTATGTGTAATGAGAGAACAGCATCATCAACATAGATCAGAAAAGTTTGTAATATGGGCCCTTTAAATATCCTAATGCTGTTTCTTCACATCTGTCTTTTACCAGGTCAATCTGGCGCTCAAGAAAATGCCACCAAACCATCTCTCCAAATTTTATTCAACACATTTACAGTCAAGAATGGAGAAGACATTAAAATAGAAATCCCTGTAGCCGGGCAACCTGCACCAAAGATTGAATGGCGAAAGGGTGATCAGGCCGTCAAAGAAACATCTAGGCTCATGATCGTAAACAAGCCTACAATGACACTTCTTCATATACGACACGCTGCCAGGGAACACTCCGGACAGTATTCAATTGAAGTCAGTAACAGCGCTGGAAAACAAACTGGGGAAATCAGTTTAGTTGTTCTGGAAAAGCCCGACCCTCCAGTGGGACCAGTGAAGATTGATGAAGTGAGCTCAGACTATGTTGTAATGTCATGGGGGGCACCAGAGTACACAGGAGGATGCCAGCTTGACAATTATGTTGTGGAAAAACGTGAAACTACGAGTATGGATTGGCAAACAGTATCTGCAACAACAGTTCGAACCACAAAGCCACAAAGCTGAAAACGGGCAGCGAATACCAGTTCAGAATATTTGCCGAAAACAGATATGGAAAAAGTACTTCAATTACATCTCCTATTGTAATGGCGCAATTCCCTTTCAGCGTCCCCTCTGCCCCAGGAACCCCTTACGCTTCCAGTGTCACCAAATACAACATGGTGGTCGAATGGGAGCCACCAGCTAAAGATGGAGGCAGCCCCATCACTGGCTATCACATCGAACGCAAAGAAAAAAACAGTATTCTATGGACTAAACTAAACAAGCTGATCCTTACTGACACTCGCTTCAAAACGACAGGACTTGAGGAAGGCATTGAGTACGAATTCAGGGTTTACGCAGAGAACATTGCCGGACTGAGCCCACCGAGCAAAACATCTGAGAGTTTTGTTGCAAGGGACAGATGTGACCCACCAGGTAAACCGGAAGCTGTAGTTGTAACAAGGGAGCATATAACTCTGAAATGGGCCAAACCGAATTATGATGGTGGCAGCACGATCACTGGGTATGTTGTTGAGAAGAAGGAGCTCCCTGATGGTAGGTGGATGAAGGCAAACTTTACCAATGTTATTGAAACTGAATTTACAATTTCAGACTTAACAGGAGGTCAGAGCTATGAGTTCAGAGTAACTGCTAAAAATGCAGCTGGTGTTTGGAGCGCACCATCTCAAACCATCACTATAATGGCTCAGGACGTCATCGAAGCACGAAGCACCCACAGCTATCATAGACCCTAAATTAAAAACTACCACTATTTTCCCTGCTGGAGATACATTCACTATTGAAGCTGACTACTTTGGAAAACCACTACCTGAAGTTGCGTGGCTGAAAGAAGGCAAGGAAATTGACAAAGCAACAACCAGAATGGAAATCAAAACTACGCTTACGCACACAAGTCTGACAGTTCGGGATTGTATACGCGCAGACGGTGGGCACTATATGTTGAATCTTAGTAACATCGGAGGTACAAAAACCATTCCTATCAATATTAAAGTACTGGACAAACCAGGGCCTCCAGATGGCTCCATAAACGTCAAAGTTGTTAGCGCAGAGAAGTGCAATCTGCATTGGAATCCTCCAGTAAACGATGGAGGCGCTACCGTAACGCACTATGTAATTGAGAAAAGAGAGACCAGCCGTGTGACCTGGACAGGAGTTGACTCTCAAGTTGAAGGTGTAACTTACAAAGTGAATAAGCTGGTACCTGGTAAAGAGTATATATTCAGAATTGCAGCTGTGAATAAATATGGTGTTGGCGACTTCCTCGAAACTGACCCATTTATCGCACAGAATCCTTACACTGTACCAAGCGCTCCCTCCACTCCTACTGCTAGTGCTGTAACTGGGGATTCTGTTGTTCTAACCTGGGAAAGACCTGGGAGCGATGGAGGTTCAGAAATTGACGGTTATATACTTGAAAAACGGGACAAAGATGGCGTCAGATGGACAAAATGCAACAAAAGAAGACTTAATGACCTACGTTTCCGATGCACGGGACTCACAGAGGGACATTACTACCAGTTCAGAGTTTGTGCAGAGAATGCCGCTGGTGTAGGTACTCCAAGTGAACCCAGTGACTATATCAAAATATGTGATGCTACCTACCCTCCTGGACCTCCGACAAATCTCAAAAGCCCTGGTCATTCTAGGAGTACAGTGTCTCTAACCTGGTCAAAACCGATTTATGATGGTGGATCTGCCATTACTGGGTTTGTAGTTGAAATGAAAGAAGCTGGAGAAGAGGAGTGGACTACTTGCACACCAAACTCAATTGAAGATACAAACTTCACTGTTAGGAGACTGAGAGAAAATGGAGAGTACAATTTCAGAGTGTGTGCTGTTAATGCGGCTGGTTCAGGGGACTTTGCAGAACTCCAAGAATCAGTTGTGGCTACTGAAAAGGTCGAGCCACCTGAAATTGAATTAGACCCAGCTCTGAGAAAGATTGTCAGTGTCCGATCCTGCTCTGCTCTCCGTCTTTGCGTCAACATCAGAGGAAATCCAGAGCCTGAAGTGAAGTGGTCCAAGGAAGGTGGTTCTCTCAGTGAGCGTGCCCAAATTGAGGTAACCCCTACTTACACTGAGCTAATGATTGAGAACGTCAACAGAAATCACACTGGGAAGTATGTGTTGATCGCTGAAAACTGTGCAGGCTCCAAATCAGCTTTCATCAATGTCAGAATACTCGACTCCCCCAGTGCACCGACGCAACTGCAAGTGAGGGATGTGAGGAGAGATTCTGTGTCTATCTCATGGGAGCCACCTCTTATTGATGGTGGGTCGAAGATTACTCATTATATCGTGGAGAAGAGAGAAGAGGCTAGAAAGGCTTTTGCGAGCGTATGTGGAGACTGTGTAAGGAACTCCTACAAGATTGAAAACCTACAGGAGGGATGTTTCTATTACTTCCGTGTTTTAGCTGTAAATGAGTTTGGCACTGGGCAACCGGCAGAAACCCCTGAACCAGTCAAAGTTGCTGAGGTCCCCCCACCTCCTGGAAAAATCTGTCTTGTGGATGTCGCTGCCAATAGCGCAAAATTAACTTGGGATAAACCTGACCATGATGGAGGAAGTAAAATATTGTCTTATATTGTTGAAATGCAAACAGAAGATGAGGATTCGTGGACAACATGCTCAGAAAGTAGGGCTCTTGAAACAACCGTTGAGGGACTGATAAAAGGAAAGGAGTATTATTTCAGAGTGAGCGCTGCAAATGAAAAGGGAAGAAGTGAACCTAAGTCATTACCAGCTCCAGTCACTGTGAAAGACAACAGTGCAAAGCCAGTCATAAATCTACTGTGTAACTCATACAGTGTCAGAGCAGGGAATGATTTGAAGATTGAGGTCCCATTCAGGGCTGCTCCACAACCTACAGTCGAATGGAGAAAAGAAGGCGTTGAGTTGAGAGAGACCAGCAGAGTAAATGTGCAGACGACTGACGGATCCTCTCAAATAACTATCAAAGACGCAACAAAATTAGATGTTGGAACTTATGAAGTTTTTGTTAGCAATCCAGTCGGCACTACTTCTGCTGAAATCTTTGTCAATGTTTTCGAAAGACCTGCACCCCCTTGTGACGTTAAGATAGAAGAAGTGAGTGTTGACTTTGTTACTTTATCGTGGCAACCCCCAACTTACAACGGTGGATGCCAAGTCAGTAATTATGTTGTTGAAAAAAGAGATACTGGGAGCACCTTTTGGCAAAGTGTGTCCGCCACAGTAGCAAGAACATCTATTAAGATTTCCCGGCTTACTCAAGGAATCGAATATCAGTTCCGTGTTGCAGCAGAGAATCGCTATGGTAAAAGTTCATACATGGAGACTGATTCAGTAGTCGCACAGTATCCTTTCAATCCACCTGGTCCTCCGATTGACATTAATGTTGTCAGTGCCTCAAAGTCTGCAATATTGATTGCATGGAGAAAGCCAGAAACAGATGGTGGAGATGCCATTATAGGCTATCATATCGAATGCAAAGACCAGAGCAGTATTCTGTGGACAAAGTTAAACAGAAATCTAGTTAATGAAACCCAGTTTAAAGTGACAAATGTCGAAGAAGGTCTTGTATATGAGTTCCGAGTCTGTGCTGAGAATATGGCTGGCATAGGCCCATACAGTAAACCATCTGATCCTGTTACAGCCCGAGACCAGTGCGAACCCCCACGAAACTTCACTGTTACTAATATAACTAATGATTCAGTCTCTCTCTCTTGGGACAAACCAGAATATGACGGAGGAGCTAAAATTACCGGATACATTGTAGAGCGAAAAGAGTTGCCTGATGGTTGCTGGCTGAAGTGTAATTTTACCAACCTCCTGGACACTTTCCTGGATGTCACTGGCCTTACGGAAGGGGAACAATATGATTTTAGGGTCATTGCAAGAAACGCCGCAGATCTCCTCAGTGCTCCCTCTGAAAACACTGGGCCTATTACCATACAGCATGATGTGGAGCCACCTAAAATTGTCATGGATGATAAATTTAGACAGGTGGTGGTCGTCAAATCCGGGGATCTCTTAAAAATAGACGCGGATATCTCTGGTCGCCCCAACCCCACAGTATCTTGGTTAAAAAATGGCAGAATTATTGGTTCTAAAGGAAGAGTTGAGATACATATATCCAAGACACATACATCTTTAGTTATCAGAGAATGCGTACGCAAAGACTCTGGACAGTATACTCTTAACTTACAAAATGTCGGTAGTACCACAACAAGGACAATCACATGTAAAGTTCTAGATCGGCCAGGCCCACCTGCGGGACCTCTGAAAGTTTCTGGTATTTCAGCCGAGAAATGCACATTGTCCTGGGAACCCCCTATGGAAGATGGAGGCGCTGAAATAATGCACTACATCGTTGAGAAGTGTGAAACTAGTCGTGTATCTTGGACCCTTGTTTATGATGACATGATGGCGACTACCTGCAAAATAACAAAGCTAGTTAAAGGCAATGAGTACTTGTTTAGAGTTAAAGCTGTGAATAAATATGGAGAAGGTGAGACATTGGAGAGCGACCCTGTAAAAGCCCTTGATCCTTACACAGTCCCCTCTGCTCCTACTGATGTTGAAGTCACAAGCGCAAGTGCAGATACTATGACTGTGTGCTGGAAGAGACCCGAGACGGACGGTGGGAGCCGTATTAGTGGCTATATCATTGAAAAGAGAGAGAAACTAGGCGTGCGATGGGTGCGTGTGAATAAAAAGCCTGTTTATGATCTTCGAGTCAAAGCTACTTGCCTGCATGAAGGATGTGAGTATGAATTCAGAGTTTTTGCAGAAAACACCGCTGGGCTAAGTGAACCAAGCGACCCGTGCCCTTTAACTATGGCAGAAGATCCTATGTTTCTACCTTCCCCACCTGCAAAACCTGTTATTGTTGATTCCACAAAGTCCTCTATTTCTCTCTCATGGAATAAACCTCTCTTTGATGGAGGTGCAGCAGTCACTGGGTACAGAGTTGAATTCAGGAAAACATCTGAAGAAGAATGGTCCACTGGGATTTACAACACTGATAAAACAGAACTGACTGTAACAGGACTCAGCAGTGGTGCAGAATATGTTTTTGTCGTAAGGTCCATAAACAGGATTGGCGTCAGTGAGCCCAGTCAAGAATCAGACCCTCAAGTAGCAATGGAGAGAGTGGAGGAACCCAAGTTTGACGTAGGACCTGAAATGCGCAAAACTCTGCTGGTTAAAGATGGTGCATCCTTCACTTTGACTGTGCCGTATTCTGGTAAACCTTTTCCGACTGTAACTTGGGAAAAAGCAGACGTAGACTTAAGAGTGCGTGGATTGATTAACACTACAAGTACAGTCACATCATTAACAGTCGATCGAGCCACACGAGATGATTCGGGCAAGTACACAGTCAAACTCCAAAATCTCGCTGGAAGTGCCTCATTGACTTTGAGTGTGAGAGTTTTAGATTCACCAGGGCCTCCAACTCGCATAGCAGTGAAGGATGTGACCAAGAATTCCTGTACTGTCGCATGGGACATACCAGAGAATGAAGGAGGGGCACCAGTAAAGAATTATTTTGTGGACATAAGGGACATCAGCAGAATGGGATGGACCAGGCTCACGGACAAATGCCACAGGCTGTCGTACCGAGTGTCAGACCTGGAAGAGGGCGGAATCTACTTCTTCAGAATCACTGCAGAAAATGAGTTTGGGATTGGAGTACCAGCGGAGACAAAGGAGGGAGTCAAATTAACAGGTAGCTAAGCTCTAGTAGAAATGCATTATGTGTAGCCTCATCCTACCTGACATTTACCTTTCATTTAAATGCATGCTTATGTTTTGTTCCTCTCTGTTGCAGATCCTACAGACTGGGAGACAAATGCAGGAGCATAAATGTTCAAAAGAAACAATGTGCTGATGATGATAATAATGGTTTTAATGTTTAAGAATAATCTTATGTTTCCTTTGCAAACTTTTATAGGCATAATAAGATAATATATTATAGAATTAATAACACCAATAATGTCATTTTGTAAACAAATTTGATTTGCTGGTTTTATTAAACTTTGTTTAATGCCAGTGTATTCTTTTCTCACCTGACATGACCTACATGAAGCACAATAACATAAGTAGTTCTAATGGAATCTTTATATAGGTGCAATCATTAAGAAAACAGCCATTAACTAATAATAATAATGCATCCGTTTGCAATAGTGCTTTTCCAGACACTCTAAGACACTTTACAGAGCATTATTCATTCACTCCACACTCAGTGGTGGTAAACTACTACTGCAGCCACATTTTCCCTGGGGCAAGCTGTTGAAAGTGAAACTGCCAATCTGTGCCATCACCACAATCTGTGCCTCACACCACCACTGTCTGTCACACACACAACACTTTCATATTAGGCAATGTGGGTGAAGTGCCTTGCCTAAGGACACAACGACAGTTTTTGTGACTGGCACCCCACTGTGGCACCGGATTTTCCCAGCTGTGTCCCATCTGACAGGATCAGGCTTTGACAAGCTGATATGGCCACAACTACTGCCTCTTGTATGGTATGAGCTTTTACGCTACATTTAAACACCAGTTTTAGTTTTTTTGGTCTATTAAATATATTTTATGTATTGTTGTTTTTTTTTGTCATTGTTAACTGTCAAATTTGTCATGCCAACAAAAGACTTAACACCAGTAAACCACGTGACCGCGCGGGAGGGGGGGCACCTGGCCAATAACCGAGTATCTGACACCGGAAGTAAGAAAAGCTTCACTTCGTTGAGTTGGGCTCATATAGATTTGTCCTCCCGAGAAGTTCAGGACGACAACCAACAAAGTAAACTACCTTTAAAAGTCATTATTTCACAATGGGCACAACGGCAAGTCAGCTCGGGAAGGATCTTTTGTCAGAATACCAGGTAAGTGTCCGAAACGCCGTGTTTTTGAGCTTTGGAGCCGTATGAAGTAGCTGGCGTAGTTGCACAAGTTATGACACCTTAGCTAGTGTGAAATAACATTAACTAACATGAACATGAAGAAACTATTACCTATTTAAAGTGTATGTCTATACGATAAACTTTCCAACTCGTTCGGTTACCTTCAATTTGTGTATACGATGGAAACAATGAAATATTAATGACGATAATGCGTTGTTTTTCTCTTCTTCAGGAGCTGACGTTTCTCACAAAGCAAGAAATCCTACTGTACGTTTTCATACACGTAATTTTTGGATTTGTGTGAATAAATTCGGTCTAACCCTCAGTTTTTGTTTTGTTTAGTGCTCACAAACGATTCACAGAGCTGCTAAACAGAGATGAGAAAGACGTTCCCAACATCAGAATACCCATGGACAGGATTCTGACTCTCCCAGAACTCAAGGTAATGTTATATGCTATTAAAGTGCCCATATTACACTATTTTCTGATCTTTTATAATGTTGTTTCCTCATCACAAACATACCTGGAGTTGTATTTTGTTTCATTCACATGTTTAACACACAAAATCTGCATATTTAGTCTGAGTTTTTCCTCTCAAACAGAAAATACAGTGGTTTTAAACTCCATACACCTTCAATAGAATCATTTGGATAATTTCAGCCCTGGAATTGCCCATTTCTACTGAACTAACAAGTAAAATGTGGCTGTTAACTCAAAAACTACAGCTTCATGGCATCACAAGGTGGAATTTTAAGCATTTTGAAGTTTGGAGACGTAAACAGACTAATAATAAACACAAACTCAAAATACGCAACTCCAGGTATATTTCTGAGGAAGTAACAACATTGTCTTGTCACTGTCTTAATGCTTGTAATTTCACACTAGTCCTAATATGTGACCTTTGTTCTTGTCACAGTCCAACCCTTTCAGGAAACGAATTTGTCATGTCTTTTCCACCTCTGAACACAAAGATGGAAGCCTTACATTTGAAGACTTTTTGGATCTTCTGAGTGCCTTCAGTGATTCAGCCACAATGGAAATCAAATCCCACTATGCATTCCGTATTTTTGGTGAGTTAATTATTGAACTATATCCTATGAAAGCCCTTAAAAACACAAGAAACTCAACCAGTGTTACTCTTTGATACTGTAGAATATGGTGTATTATTGCCCCCATAGTCTAAAAACAAAATGGTAACCCAAATTATAATTTTACTGACTGTAAACATGTACAAAATTTGCTATATTTATCTGTAATCGGTGCTTTTGTCATTACTAGAGGCATATGTGACATACATGTACTTGTATTAAATATTATACAAATATTTTGGGATTTTTTTACCGTATCAGCCTTAAATCTCCAGCATAGGTCAATATTTAGTTTTGGTCAATCGGCTGTCCTATTAATACACACAAAGCTTAATATTAAAACTCTAATATGAAGAGATAGCTGCAGAAAATGTGACTTCTCTTTTAGGTTTGTGGTACCGAATGGCTTGGGAGGAGTTTGCAGTAAATTTAAATAACATAATTTAGGGGAAATGATCTAAATCAGCCCAAAAATATCGGCAGAGCTTATTGGCCATTAGTTGCTCTGTGTTCTAAACAATTGGCCATGAAAAAAACATATTTCCTTCTAGATAATCAAGTCCAATCTAATCATATCTGTAATATCTCTAATGTGATTCGATTCTGGTACCATAGAGTCTGAGTAAACACATGAGAAACATCTGCTATTTTTCCAGACTTTGACGATGATGGGACCCTAGACTCTGATGACCTACAGAAGCTGGTAAACTGCCTGACCGGAGAAACCGATGATACGAGACTAACACCAGAAGAAATGAAACAGCTAATCACCAATGTAAGTTTAGTGACACACATTCTACACTATTAAAGCCCTTTTACGTTATCGTGAATCATAATTTTCCTTGTACGTTTCAGATTCTTGAAGAGTCTGACATCGACAAAGATGGAACAGTGAACCTCTCAGAATTTCAGCATGTCATTTCAAGATCGCCAGATTTTGTCAGGTAATATAAACATGGGAATTGGATGGTAATCATTTAGTACACACCCAGTTAATTTAAGACAAATATTCTTCTCCACAGTTCTTTCAAGATTGTCCTGTGAAAGCATCTCCTGAACTTCAACAAAAATGTTAGAAAAATTATATATTAGTGATTTCATATAATGTGTCTTAAATTATATACTAAATACTGTGGATCTTTTACCCTTAATGCTGCAATACACATTTTAAAACTTTTGTATTTTATGATATTTCTATTAAAAAAATAAACATGTCTTTTAAATCTATGTATCATGAATGATTTAAAGAGAACCTTATAAAAACACAAAGTACATGACACGTACAAACTGCTACTTCCTTGTATGCCGTGCAAAGTCCTGGTTTATTATCATAAGGGGCACTTCTGTGGTTCTTCCTGCTTAACCACAGCTGCAAATGTGTTCCACGCTCCACAGACTACATCAATAACACGCAGGTGGTGATCTTTAAAAAACTCTATACACTGAGGCTCATCTGAACTTAAAAGGTTCTTGTGTCCGAGTTGTCCGTACTCTCCTGTGAAAATACATGAAGAAGAAACATTACTTTTTGTAAATATAAAAAATTGCGGTGACACTTTTAGTTTAGGAACCACATATTCGCTAAGTAAGTGTTAACTGATATGCTAATTATCTGTTACTTAACTTGTAGTTGGTATTTATCAAACACTTATTAATGATAATGAAGATTTTAGTGTAAAAAATACACCCATAGACCCACGCTATTTTCTGATCTACGTTATAATGTTTTCTCATCAAAAACATGTCTGGAGGTGTGTTTTGTTTCACACGTTTAACACACAAAAGCTTATCTCAAACTTAACTTATCTCCAAAGAAGAAAACACTCTGTTCCACCTTATGATGTCATGTGGTAATACAGGAAGTGTTCCACTGTGTTTTTAAATTCCATGCACCTTCACTGGAATTAATTTGGATAATTTCAGCTCGGAAACTGCAAAGGTAAAGTTAGTTGTTAACTTGAAAACTGCCACTTCATGACATCACAAGGTGGAGCAGAGAACTAATAATACAGGATTACTCAAACGTGTGAATGAAAGAAAACACAACTCCAGATATATTTTTGATGAAGTAACAGCATTATAACTAATATGACTAAAAGGTAGCATTGTAGCACTCGAGACTGGTCTTGGTCTTGAGACCAACCTGGAGTCCGCTTTTTTATGGTCTTGGTCTCGTCTTTGACTCGAGTGCATTTGGACTCGGGCTTGTCTCAGTCTCGAAGGCACTTGGTCGCGGTCTTGTCTCGAGTGCGATCATATTTCATTAGGGCCGGTAAATGTGCAGAGGCTGCTAAATATCACTGCAAAACCTGTAAGATTATGTAACTTTAAATGTTATGAACTTGAAAAAACCCACTTGATTCACTTTGAAGTTGTTTTCTGTAAAGTGCCCGTGGAAGTGGGATTAAAGAAGGGGTTCGCAAACTGTGGGTGAGAGTACAAAAAAGGGGCACAGAGCGTTTCAGTGCAGTACAGTTTGCTTGGCTTATTTTAAGCTTGAATGAACATTAATCAGATCAAATGGAGATAGATTTATAAAAGCATTGATATATATGTGCCAAAAAAAACCTGTGAAATACAAATAAATGTAGAAAATGACAAAGATGGTCCTGATTTGGTCTCAATGGGCTGTAGTCTTGGTCTTGTCTCGGTCTTAATCTTTAAAAGTCTTGATTTTGTGTCGATCTCGGGATGCTGTGGTCTCGGTCTGGTCTTGGCCTTGATTAGTGCGGTCTTGACTACAACACTACTAAAAGCTCAAAGAGAATTTTGCATAACATAGGTTCTTTAATGGCTTAGTAATTGCAAAATACCACCTTACACAAAAATACATATTTTATAAATACTAACAAAGATTATTAATTAAGCACTTATTACACATTTAACTATTAATATGTGGTCACTAAACTAAAGTGTCACCAATTTTCCTTGCAGTATTAGAAACTTACCCCAACCCCAAGTATAAAGGTCCCCCTCAGCTAGAATGAGACAAATTGTTAGTACTCTTATTTATTTTTGGTACTATTAATTATTTTCCTTGTTATTACGTAAAGAGATCTCACCTGTAACTGCAGCCGTGTGTCTGGAGCCGCAGCTCACAGCCTCCACGTCACACTGAGGGTTCAGGTCGAGCAGAGCGGGGAAAGCCTGGATAGATATGAACACCTCTTTGTCGTCCTCTGTCTGCGTTGGTTCATCTCCTGGTTTTATGTTAGTATCTGGAGATTGTAAAGCTGTAAATTGCAAATTGTGGTGGTTATTCAAATCTTGTCTGTCACTGAATGATTAAATGATTGTTTTCTTTGACAGAACGCAGTATTTCTATTCAAAATGACAGGTTTAACTTAATCACATTAACTCAAAATCTTGATCTTAAAGGTGCACTGTGTAACTTTCCTGGTAAAGGGCCAGTCACTTGCTTGTCTCCATGGACTGTTATTATTTGCCTGGAATGTTCCACAGTATAGCATTAAGATTATCTGTCTTCATGGAGCCAAATTACAGGTCAAATCTGAGAAGTTTTTTTTAAATTATTATTATTTTGGACAAATAAAATCACCTGCAAATGAATAAAAGCAAGATGGATACGTTAAATGCCACAATGTCCCAAAGCAAAACTATGCAATTTCTTTGAATGCCAACAGGTAATGGAACCTCTGCCTGAAAGTTACACAGTGCACCTTTAACAGTGCTTCAAAAATAAGATTATTTAAGAATAAGAATATTGCTACAGCCTTTATTATAATCATGTTAAAATTCACCGAGAATCAATGGCATTTTAAAAATGCAGAAGTTGTGTAATGTATTATAAATAAATCAGAAGTGAATGTACTCATGAAAACGAAAAAGGAAAGAGAATCTGCAATGTAAGTCATTATTATCGAATAAAAATTTAGTACTCAACTCATTCACAGCCTTCTTTTACTACAAAATGTTCAGAGTCCAGTGTATTCATATTTTCACAGTACTTTCTTTGGACTAAAGTGTTTAGACAAAGATTTATGCAGATATTTTTCATGCTTATTTAGGCAGCTGGTTGGACCAAACAAAATAGCGGCCGCTGCTGGAGATTTATGGTCAATAGCTGATAAGACTCTTTTTCACTGACAAAATTTCAAAACATATTCATGATTTTTTCATGACCTAAAGTGAATTTTCCATGACTTTACGGCACCTTCATGTGTAGAATTATTTTTAGGGCTAAATATAAAATGTTAACCCTTTCCATTCACCTTATGATTTGGGATTATAGTTTTTTAACATTGAAAATACTGTCAGTGCATTTATTGACGTCTCTTTTAAACAAAAGGCGCATACTTTCAGAAATAATCATAATAGCCTAATGAGAACTTAACAGAACGCTATTGTTGCGTGAAAGAGATATTAAAATTTCATGACTTTTCCAAAACTTTTGGTGAATTTACAAAATTCCATGACTTTTCCAAGCCTGAAAAATGACATTTTTAATTTTCATGACTTTCCCAGGATTTCCATGACCATGGGAACCCTGTGATATGCAAAAAAGGGCAAATATTGGCTCAATATATTGGCCAACCGATGTATAAATCTGCCTTTCTCTATTCAAGATATTTACAGTATAGTGTGTGCTTTGTTTAAAATTGTCTACCTTTTTCATGGCTGTTTTGCTGCTGAACTTTTCTCACACCCCGCGAAGGAAGTCCAAGTTGTCCAATCTCATTCCAGCCCCACACATAAAGATCGTGAGTAGCTAAATAAAAGATAGACATAAAACAGATTGATGAATAGCTGACATAAAATATAACTCCATATAAACTCCATGTCAACAACTTACCGCTGATACAACAACAGTGCCACCCTCCAGCAGCTACACTTTTCATAGGCACTCCCCAGAGAGCCTCCACTGCTCTGGGCTCCTCCTCTGAAGTAAGACTGCCATGGCCCAGCTGACCATGACTGTAACACACAAGCACACACAAACACACACGCACAAACACAAAGACACTATCACATATCATCCTGCTACTCGGATAACCTATTGATACTTTGCAGCTCATGTCATCAACATTCACTGGTGGTGTGATGCCCTGTTTGAGGCTCTGTTACTCAAGTTAGACTTTAATCTGAGCTTTAATTTAACACAACCTGACCATAAAGAACTACCTTTTGCTGGAACTACAACAAGTCAGCTGTTTTGTGCTGTTAAATAAGTCCCTCTAACACAGGATGACCAGAATTTAAAATAAAATACTGGGACATTCCTGGTTTTTTGGTGGTTGGTAATAATAAAACTGTGAAACGAGTGTGTAATTAAGGAGAATTGTTCTGCATTCAGCCCATTGATGACTAAGATATAAGTCAGTATAGATATATTTTCTTTGTGTTTTGGTCATTTTTAAGCAGCTTTTTTGTATTTTACCTAAAGAAATGATAATTTATGCCACTCTTTTCTGTTGGCATGTACCAAATTGATTTAAAAAAGGGACACCTGGGAGATTTCTTGTATAAAACTGGGACAAATCACTGGTTTTGGATAAATCAACTGGGACAGTGGAAACAGGACTCAAAACTGGGACCGTCCCGGGTGTTGTCAGAGTTTTCAGCTTGTGCAAGAAAGGGTGGAAGTAAAAGGCTGGAGACCAACTGGATGTCTTAAGCAGGAGAAGTTTATTTACCATCAATAATACGGCCAGCGGGGGACTTGAAAATTCAACATAGTATGATTTCAAAAGTGAACATGGTATGCTATTTGAGTGTTCAAGTCCCTGGACTCTGCTTCCAAAGGAGGAGGTTTATAAAGCAAGTGTGGTGAGACTATAAATGCCAGTAGACACCGGTTAGACAGCTATGCCACAAATTAGATAATGGTATGCAGATGATATGCCAAGGGAAGATCATGTTGTAAATATAGCTTTTGTGAGTCAATGTTAACCGTACGTGGAAGATAAATTACTTAAATTCTCTAACACTGGGTAAATACAGACGTCTGGTCACCGTACTCTCACATTTTTGTTGAAAATCACCTAAACAAGACCATGAACATTTGCATTGATTACAGGCTGTTTAGATTCATTATGTATTTTTTCTTGAGTTTTCAGACAAACTAAAAACGTTTTTGGTAGTTATTGCTAATGTGTGCATTGTGTCGCCATGGTAACTGATGAACTTTATGCCATAGAAATACACAGAAATACACCCCCAGCTTGATGTCACTGCAAAGTATCAATAGAATGACAGAGGGAATGTACCTGCCCTGTCCCCATGTGTACACAGCTCCAGTGGCACTCAGAAGAATCACGTGCTCTGGGCCCACGGCGAGGCTCTTGGCTTGAAGATGTGGAGATATGGGGCGATAGAACGGTGGCTTTAGGGCGATGTAACCTCCTGGGACTAAAGGGAGCTTCGTACAAGAGTCTGGAAATGTAATTACACAAGTTAACATAATCAAAAATAAAATCTGGATGTGTAAATGAAACAATCTGAGGCCCTTGTTTTGCATACTGCGTATTTGTTAAGAGTACAGGTTCGTTTTGACTTTAAAGGCTTTAAAGGCTTGCTGTTAACATGAAAATTAAAAAAGCTATTACAAAGTTAGGGTGACCAGATTTTCAAAATAAAAAACTGGGACATCCCTGGTTTGAATAAAATTGTGAAATGAGTGCATAATTAAGGACAATTGTTATGCACTCAGCACTAATGTGAGTCAGTATAGTCACATTTTCTTTGAGTTTTGGTCATTTTTCAGCAGCTTTTTTGTATTTTACCTAAGCAAATGACAATTTATGCCTCTCTTTACTGTTGACAGGGATTAGATTGGTTAAAAATAGGGATACCTGGGACATTTCTTGTATAAAACTGGGACAAATCATGAGTTTCGGATATATCTGCTGGGACAGGGGACACAGGGCTCAAAACTGGGACTGTCCTGGGTAAATATGGTCACCTTAGACAAAGTAGAACAAAGCATTTGGAGCGTTGGAGATGTAGAAGGACTATTAATAAAAAGTTACTCAAACATGTATAAATGAAACATAACACAACTCGAGTTCTGTTTTTGAGGAGGTAACAACATTATAACATGGCTTAAACATGGCTTACAGCTCACAACAGTCGATTGTGCGTAATCATTTTGTGTTTAATTTGAACTCTGGATATGTTTCTGATTCTAACAAACCAAATAAACCTATTACTACTATTCCTACCTTCTGCACCAGCTACAAATATGCCAAATACACAGTACATTCATTGAGTATACCTGTGAATAGCCACTTACCAGGTGTTTCTAAAGAAGGTCTCACATCCATGCTCCACACTGGACCATTCTCGTTCTTCTCAAAATCCCACACCTCAACTCTGTCCTGGAAAGCGAGCGTAAACTGGGACTCGTTGTTTGTAGCATCTTTGCATCCACGGCTCTGCTCAACAAAACCACAGCACTTATTGGAGCTGCCGAGTCCTCTGAACCCATCCAGAAAGACACCACTATCATCTGGAAAACAACAATGAAAAGAGTGATGTGAAAGACTTTTTGGTTTTGAGTTTGTCACCTGCTTGTTTCTACGGATATGTCATTGCTCTGCCTGGAATGTTCCACAGTATGACATTAGACAGCTCTACTTTACATTTATTCAATTACAGAGGGGTTATAGCTCAAAAAATACCTAGAAAAACAGGCATTCTGGTCACCTTTCCACAGATCTGACCTGTAACTTGGTCCGATTTGGTCTCCATGAAGACAGAAATTTTTAATCACGTACTGTGAAACATTACAGACAAAGCAATAACATCACCATGGAGAAAAGGATTTGAGGGATCCTCTACAGCAGGGGTGTCAAACTCAGATTCACAGAGGGCCAAAATTAAAAACTGGGACCGTGGGCCAAACATATACTTATCACAAATATTTATTGAAAAAATTCATCAGCATCTGCATGTTTTCTCTTCTTTCGAGATATGTAATGTTAAACCTTTACATATTAAAATAAATGTTTAATAATGGTTGTGCGTAAACATTGAATTATTGAATAATAACCAAACTGTAAATACATAATGTCTCTATAACCTATTTGTAGCTGGCGGGCCAGCTCTAATACATATTTGATATGATCTCGCGGGCCAAATATAATTATAATGTGGGCCAAATTTGGTCCCCGGGCCTGAGTTTGACATGTCTGCTCTATAAGAAAAGTTATACATTGCATCTTTAACATGAATTTTTGAAATCAGATCTCATTTTTTAAAACACCAAATCCCTTTCTTTCTAGTTTTTATGCATTATATTTTCTTTCTTTCTTTTTATTTTTTTACATATTAACCCTGAACCAACACAAAAATCAGAACAGAAGCAGAGTAGTGCAAAAAGCGGTCACTCATGTTGCCCAAAAACAGATCTAGCTTCATAACAACAGTTAGTTTTTACATTTTTAGTATTTTTGTAACCACAATTATTTTGATTATGCATAATTTCAATAGGTAAAAACACTCCCACTCTCACTTTCTTAGCCTTGGTCATTTCTCTTTCTGATTATAGTACAGTAAAAGAGTACAGCCGTATAGTATAGTAAAAAAGAACCAATCTTTTGAGCGGCTCTTTGAAATGAATGAATGCAAAAGATTCGGATCCCATGAAAGAGCCGAAAGTCCCATTACTACATGAAAGGCAATAACTCAGACATAACTTAGTAACAACCCAAGGAAGTTTTACCCTCTAGTAGAGACAATCTTCGACTCCAGCTTGCTCGGATTTGCTGTAATTCCGATGATGCATTACGTCCACAAACGCATTTCTTCACACTTGTATTTATTAACGTGGGGCAGATGATTTTCAGCTCGTTTACAGCATCAGTTTTGTCTATAGCACTCTGTTCATGCGCAACGATCTGTGCAAATCCGTTGAAGCCAAAGCCGAACCAACGCATTGAAAATAATAATAATAAAAAGAATAATTAAATGCTGTAAAGGTTAAATGAGGTCCTGTTGTGACCCCAAACTATCTGGCTTCTTGCACGAGTTTGCACCTTCTACCTCTCGCGCTGTTTTGCTCTGTCACGTGATCCAAAAATCGTCTACGGAGGTTGCCAGATTGGACGATATTCACGGTTTTCAGTTTTTTTTTTTTTTTTTAAATCTATGCAACTGGCAGCTTGCTATATTTATGTTTAGGGTGACCAGACGTCCCTATTTACCCGGGACAGTCTGTTTTGTGTCCCCTGTCCCAGCAGATTTATACAAAACCAGTCCCAATTTTATACAATTATACAAATGTCCCAGGTGTCCCTATTTTTTTAAATTTATATATATATATTTTTTAATCTAAACCAGAACTAAACTAAGATTAAACCAAGAAAGACTACATCAGGTCTAAACCAGGACTAAAACAAGACAATCACAATGAATTTTTGACTAATCTGATACCTGTCACCAGTAAATAGGAGCATAAATTGTCATTTGTTTTGCCAAAAATACAGCCTGCAATGACCATAAAGAAAAATAAATAAATAAAAATGCAACAACAGAAGACCCTCAGATTATGACTGACACGAGAATGCACAATCTTACGTGCTCTTTTCACAATTTAATTTATACCAACCCCGGTGTGTCCCAGTGTAGAATTTTGACATTCATCAGTTTGATCTTTATCTATATTACACTGTTATTGTTGTTGTTGTTTTTAATCTTTGTCATATTGTTGTTTCTTCATCAAAATTATATCTGGAGTTATGCTTTGTTTCATTCACACCTTTATCACTCAAATCTTGCATATTTAGGCTGAGCTCCACTGTGTTTTTAAACTCCATACACCTTTATTAGAATCATTTGGATGATTTCAGCTCTGGAATTGCCCATTTCTATTGAATAAAAGTTAAAAGGTACCATCATGTTAAGTTGAAAACTACCACTACATGACATCACAAGGTGGAATAGAGCGTTTTGACATTTGGGGATGTTGATAGGCTTATAATACCACATTACTCAAGCATGTGATGAATGAAACAAAACACAACTCCAAGTAGGAAGGTTTTGGATCAGGTAACAGAATTATAACACGTCTCAACGCTCACAAGAGTCAATTTTGTGTAATATAGGACCATTAATCATTTTTAAGAATTTGGCTTTGCAGAAAATGAATTACTGAACACGTACTATTAAGAGTAAAAAGGTAGCCTAATGCAATTCACTCATTTTGTATTTTATTAAAATACTTTATGTGGAAATATATATAAAGGAATGATGACAGTGTAAAACAAAGCTGTATTTAAAACATGAAAAATAATACACACTTTGAGGTACAGTTGTAGTGCATAAGAAACAGTGACAAACCGAGATAAATCAGTCTCTACGCTATGCATTTGTTGGAGTCATAAAATGTCCAAAGATTTTAGCTTGGATGACAGATACTAAAAATGTTGGTGGATTAGTGAAATGCTTATTGGTCAAGGATAATACTTAAAGATGCATTGGGTAACTTTTCTGGTGGAGGGTTCGTCAAATGTTTTTCTCCATGAAGATGTTATTGCTTTGTTTGGAATGTTTCAAAGTGTGGCATTAAACCTTTCTATCTTCATGGAGACCAAACCAAGCCAGTCAGAATGTGTTTTTCTAGGTATTTTTGAGCTATAAAACCACCTGTAATTGAATAAATATAAGGCAGAGCTGTTTAATGTCATACTGTGGAACATTTCAAGCAGAGCAATGACATGTCCATACAAACAAGCAGGTAATGGACCTCCCAACAAAAAAGTTACATAGTGCACCTTTCATACATTTGGTCACCATTTATACAGTGCTGAAATATACCGTACTTATTCTTTCTCTCTGTTCTTGATTATACCGTACTCTATAGCTTTGTCCAGACAGTTTTGGGCAATTTTAGAGACTTGGCTGTTTCCACCTTCTTCTCCCTTGGCTAAGACTGTGAGGATTTCTAAAGCCTCACTCTCCATCAGTTTTTCAGCCAAACTCTTGTCCGCGAGCATCATATTCTGAACAACAACCACAGCTCGATGTCGCAGATCTACAATTTCACAGAGGAGCAAAGCCTGGAGGATCTCCAGCCAGTGAGTCGTCTGGAAAGGAAAAGAAACAGGAAGAGAGAACATTTAATTTCATTATTATCAGGTAACATCTGAGAACTAAAATAACAATTTATCACCTAACACCAATTTTTACTTTTGTGTTGTTACGACAATAACTGGTCATGGAATCTGATACTGAAATTAACAGTCCCTCAGGGTGTGACGCTAACTGGAAGCACTGCTCTGTCTGAGGCTAAACAGGACAATGAATTCTTGTATTGTACATATTTTTTCTTGAGTTTTCACACAATCTAAAAACGTAATTTGGTATTGTTGCTAATATGTGCATTGTCTCTATAGTGGAATGCTGAACACCGTAGAGATGCAAGTAGGACACCCCAGAGGTGGGACCAAGTCGTTGTTTTGCAAGTCTCAAGTAAGCCTCAAGTCTTTCACTTCAAGTCTGAGTCAAGTCCCAAGTCAAATACAGACAAGTCCAAGTCAAGTCCAAGTTATCTGCATTAAGCTTCAAGTCTTTTCAAGTCTTTAAACCAAAGTGCTTAGATTTTTTTCAATTTATATGAATTTTAAACTAAATTGTACTTAAAAAGTCATAGTATATTTATATACGAGTCTATGGAGTGTACAAGAGTTGCAGAAATGATTTAGTTAATTTTTCCTTTTTAAATGTCTTGACAAGATGTTAGTTTTCATTCATTATGGTCAGAACAAAAAGAATTCAGATTTAAAAGTGCTTCATAAGTCTTCTCAAGTCACAGGCCTCAAGTCCGAGTCAAGTCCCGAGCCATTGACCTTCAAGTCCAAGTCAAATCTCAAGTCTTACTCAATTTTATCAAGTTAAGTCTAAAATCCTAAAAAATAGTCACTCAAGTCTGACTCGAGTCCAAGTCACGACTTGCAAGCCCCCACCTCTGGGACACCCTCAACATGGTGTCACTGCGAAGTATTAATAAAAGAAGAATATCCTCTATGATTCAGTCATAAATTGGGTTTGCAGGACAAAATAAATAAGAAGCACTAAACTAATTTTAGCCAATTATCTTCAGAAGGCGCAGAGGGGCAAAGCTCAATACATTTTTGTTTCTCTCTAAAAAGGCAATGCACCCCAGTTCAGATATTTTATTGCTGTTGCTTAAATAAATAACTTTAATAAGATGAGGTGCAGTTCTTACAGTTTCTGGGATGCGTGCACAGAGCTCGGGCTGCTCAGCGGTCAGCATGGCCAGTGTCCCTGAAGCTGCTCTTCGAAGTCTCTCATCCTCCTCTCCACTGTACAACACCAGCAGCTTCAGACGATCATTTCCTGTTGCCAGGTATAACTTCTGTACCTAAAAGAGAAATAAAAGACAAATATACAATTAATACATACACGCATACACACAATATACAAAATTTACATTAGATTGTCATTATATTTCTTACCTCTTCACTCAGTACAAGATTACACATACATTCAGTGGCAGCTGCTCTGACAAGATCATGCTCCTCAAACATGTAGCCTTCAATTTTTGGTATTGCCTTTTCTTTAATAATCTTTTGCCTAAAGACCACATTTTATTATTTATTAAAACAGTAACAAGTACTTAACAGTTATTTAATTACACATGTTTTAAAAGCATAAAATTACAGGCTAAATCACATATAACTTTGTACTTGGCAATAAAATATGCATGGGGCCAGCTACATAAACTTAGTGTAGAAATAAGTGGGCTCATATCTCCCCCTTGTGGCCAACCTTAGTCTTTCACTGATGCCGGCCAGGTTGGTTAGTCCCATTAGTGCCTCAAAGTTTTGCAGCATGGTGCATTCAAGGCTCAAAAGGCTGACAAGAGGACGCACCACTTCATAAACCTGCAAACACAGATCACAATTTAACTATCACAACACAACTAAATGGGTTAAAGGTCCTATATTACGCAAAATTGACTCTTCTGAGCGTTAAGCCATGTTTTAGAATGTTGTTATCTCAACAAAAACCTGTAGTTGTGTTTTGTTTCATTCACACATGTTTGACTAACCCTTTATTATTAGTCTGTCTACATCTCCAAAGCTCAAAATGCTCTGTTCCACCTTCTGAAGTCATGAAGCGGTAGTTTTCAAGACAACAGTTACCTTTTACCTTTTGTTTAGTGGGGATTGGCAATTCCAGAAAAGAAATTATGCAAATGATTCTAGTGAATGTGCATGGGGTTTAAAAACACAGCGGAGCATTTCCTGTATTGCCAAATGGCATCACAAGGTGGAACAGAGCCCAAACTCACAAACTCAGCCTAAATATGCAGGATTTGTGTTTTAACTGATGAGAAAACAAAATTGTAAAATAGAAAACAGAGTAATATGGGCCCTTTTAGGAGATTAATTTTGTGAATTAGTTACGCATTTGTTGTCCTTACCCTTTCTCCGGGGAAGGCAATTTCTGGATTTGACGTAATAGTTATTTTTGCCAAGGCTTGAGCTGCTTTTATTTTGCCCATGTCTGTGTTGTCAGTGGCGAGAGGGATTAGAGCCTGAAAAACAGCAAATGTGAAATAATAATAAAATAATAAAAGTGTAGACAAATAAGTGAAAGCAACGTCTCTACCTTTCCTCCACCCTGTGCCACCACGGTGCCTCTGTCCTCCTGACGTTCTACCAAAGCCAAAAACGCTCTGTGAAAAGAAATGTTATACGTAGTTAATTACCTGATTAAAATAAAATTATACTGAAAATATAAGTAATAATAGTTGGCCTGTCACAATAATTACTACATCAACTTATCACCGAAACAATAGACTGTGTATAAATGTTATTTGTTATCTATTTCCAGTTGAATTTACACTGAGAAATTATCATTCCTCTCTCTCCAACTGCTGCTGTGAGTCTATGGTGTGACGTCACAGTAATTTAATCCACTTCTTTATACAATCTATGGCCTAAACAGTACATTTTAGGGCTCAGTATTTATCGTGTGTACCATTTCTTTGTAAATGTGGGGAGATTTTGTGGTATTCTTGTTGTAA